CCCCAAAACCCCAAAACCCCAAAACCCCAAAACCCCACATTGCTTATTTTAAAGAATTTTAAGGAAATCAAAATTAGAGTTAAATTAATAACTATCAATTTATATTTTATTCTAGTATTGTTACTCAGTCTAAGAAATTATTTTACTTTTTTTGCATATCCTTAGGTGAATTCTAATCCTAATTATCTTGATTTTAAATTAACTCCTGTTTCTCTTAATCCTTTGAAGGCGCTTTTTTCTTTAATTACCTTTTCTTTGCATGAATTTGAATTTGTAGTTGACTATCGTCATTGAAAAAATCGTCAACTTTTAAAGCTGAGGAATCAATTTATTTAGGCTGAAAATTTAAAGGTTCATTTTCTTTTTGATGATCATCATTATTAGCTGCATTTTCTTGTTTTTTAACTTTAATCAACTTCTTTGGCTTATCAAATGGCTTGATATACTCTGAATTCAAGTCTAGATTATTTTCAACTTCGTTAAATTTGAATTTAGAGTTATCTAATGATTATGATGTTCCTTGATTATTTGATTTAGAATTACTAGTATTGTTAGGATATTTATTTGGTGTATTGCTGTTTGAGTTTAAAAGATTATTCTAAGGCTAATGCAGAAATTTTGAGTTCTCTTAATCTGAAAATACTGAACTTCGGTGAATATCGTTAGCAAGCGAACCTCCACTTATTGTAAGTGGGCGAGTTTGATCGTAGCCTATGTTATTGCTATTTAAATCATTGGGATTATGATGCTTTTACTCCTTAATTAACTCTAATTCCTCCATTATATTTGTCTCATTTGATTTATGCTTGCCTTTTTTTGTCTTTTTTTCTGATGAACTGGAACTAGAAGAGGAAGAATTAAGAGATTTAGAGTCTTTCTCTGGACTATCCTCTACATAATCTATAGATATACCATCATCCTTTTGCTCCTCATAGAACTACATGAGTTTTTTATTGAGATTGATTGGCGGTAAATCATCGTAATTCTGTTTAAAAGTTGTATTATTCTTTTTAGTCTGAGATGTTTCCTCCTTAAATTCACCGGTTTTATACTCATCAGTTCCTTTTTCTACTTTATTCGTTTTCTTAGGAGATCTGTCTGAGTTAAATTGAGATTATTTTAATTGATCATTTTAGGAACTATCCTTCTCTTGGTCTTTCTAAATTTGAGAGAGCAAACTTATATGCTCATTGGGTCTATTATCCATTAATATATTTTAATGATCATGGTCTGGACCATCATGATCATCTTACTAATCTCCAATAGTCATTGTTGTCATTTTCGGAATAATTTTTATTTCAATGGTATACTGGCTCTTAATTTATAAATAATCAGCATACATCAATATAGTCATTATTACAACAAATACTAATGTTTCAATAGCAATGATAAATATATAATGAAACCAATGAAAAGTTATGATGATAAAAATATCAGCTGCAGCGATTGCTGTATACACAAGGAGAATACACCAAAATGAGTAAGATCTAATTGGAGAAGTAAAAAATACATAAATATTAGTGAAGCTAGCTAAATAATATTTTCTATCCATAAATCCACAAGTAAAAAGTCTTAGTAGCTTTTAGTTATATAGGATAGAAAAATTCACAATTCTTTTATACGAATTTGGATGCTTGTCCTAACTCCATATCACAAAGTTCTAATCCATTTATCTGTTTGTGTGGAATTAACAACCTGAAATCAAATTAAGGATATAGAACATTCCAATTGCTCCACATGTTATAAATGTAGGAATCCAGTGTTCATATAGAATGCAGACAACTATTTATGCTGCGAAAATAGGAAGTTCAAAAATAGCCCACATACAGATGATAGTTTGAAGCAAATTCACTTATTTGTATTTCTTGCATTTAACGAAAATGACTAAGATCAGAGTCATTATAGCTAGAAATATTAGAATAGGGAATGGGATAAATAATTCTGCCTCATTTATACATTTTTCAAAATACCAATTATGTTCCTAGCCTTTGCTACATTCATCTTGAATATTAGTGATAATTTAGCTGCAATCTCCTTTAGAATCAAACTCATAACCAGTCGGGCAAGTTATATTTACACATTATCTCGAGTCAAAATCAGCATTAGTACCCTTAGGACATCTTAAATAACAGCTATTCATGTAAGAAAAATATCCTATTTAGCATTCAGTACAGTTTTAAGGGTTAACTTTGCATGTACTGCATCCATCAGCACATGATTAACAAGCATTTGAGTAATATATTTCAGAACTAGCACATCTTGAGAGGCATTGATTTAAACTTAAGAAGTAGCCTGGTTAGCAAGACATACAACGATTTCTAAATGTCTAGCAAGTGACACAATCGTTTGTGCATTCATCACAGAACCCTTTTCTCTCTTCTACAGTGTAAAGCTCTGGGCAATATTTGTCACAGACATTTGTAAATGGATTCAATCTTAGTCCTTCAATGCAGGATGTACACTTGCTTCTATTATCTTTGCAAGTTTTGCATCTAGAATCACATGACATGCAAGTCCTATTTGTGGTATTAGCTATTGTTATATCTGAAGGACATTATTAAATGCAAGTCTTGTTAAATAGACTAAGATACTATGGGCAATAAGTGCATTCTGTACTTGATCCAGTACAATTTAAGCAATTTTAGGAACATTAGGAACATTACCCTCCTGTTCTATTATAAAAATATCCCTAAGGACAAGCAGTTTCTGCTAAGCAGGTGTTATTAAATAGAGCAGGAATCTTAGAAGATCTAGCGCAACTTGTACAATTAGTTGGAGTTCCGTAGCAGGTAGTACAATTAGCATGGCATTTCTAGCAGGTTGGTGGAGCAGAACTGTTAGACAAAAGATAGTAGCCATCTATGCAACTACTTACACATTCCTTATTTTAAAGTACATTCAGTGGGGAGAATTGTGTTTTACTTAAACATGCTGTGCATTACTTCTTACTCGCAGCAGGTATACAGTCTCCACAAGGATAATCACATTTTACCGTTACTATCAAGTTGCTTGTGATGCTATCTATCTAATAATTTTCCTAAGTTAAAATATCTAATTTGAAAGTTTCAGCAAAACTTGATGAATCAGCATTAACAAATCCATAAAATTGAAGTTGAACTTATTAATTAGGATTAATCAATTGTGGTGAAATATTTTGCAAGATTAACTAGCCTGCTGCAATATTGTTTGTCAATTAAAGTGAAGTATTGCTTGCATGAGCTGGAGATTATATACTTGCTGAAATTGAAAAATAATTGGACATCAATAGTTTTGGGTAGGTAATGATGATCTTTGAATTTTATGGAATCTAATGTAAGGTATTAAAACTTATTTTGACCTCCATCACTGTCCTTGGTGATAAAGGAAAATTCTAAATACTGAATCCAGATGTGATGGTAGCAGGATACTTTAACTATACTATTAAATCTTGTGTTTCCAAAACTGATATTTTTTTATTATCATTCTGAAATAGTTCTAGGATAAACGAAGAAGATGCTTAGGTTGTAATTCGATTATTAAAGCCTGTTATTCCTACTGATAAGACTTTACCACCTGCAAAAATAGTTCCAGTTCCAAATGCAAGTGTTATTAAAATAATCTTATCTCCTTATCTAGAGTATTAAACAGTCCCACTAATCTGATCACTTTTGACTTATGTTATGGTTGGAAGTGTTATTTCATCCGGGATAGTAATCTTAAGAATATCACCATTTATCAAGAATGAGGGAGTAGTAAATGAAAAAGTGTAAGTTACACCCGTAGCACCCACAGTAGAGGAACTAGTTTGGACTTTAGTTTGACTGAAGTAAGATGGCTCAGTAGGTGTTATTACTGTATTGATGTTACTTGGGCTAGAATTATCACTAGTATCTACTAAAAGATCATATTTATCATAAGTTTCTACTTTGAATTAAGTTGAGGCTTAAGGTGATCTTGGATTATTAACATTCGCTATCCTTAAATTAATAACAGTATTAGCGGGATAATTTGAAGTCTTTGCTAAACCATAGAACTTCATTACTCTGGTACTCTAAGTGAATTAGCATTCAGTTTGCACTCCATCTTTTTGACAAGAATACTGTTGTGGAGAAGTTATTGAGTTAGGATAGTATAAAAGCAAATATCCTCCTAGAGGTATAGGATTTTAGGCTTTAATCTAGAAATAGAAAATAGTAGATTCTGCAGCTCTTGTTGCTCCAGAAGATGCAGTAATAAGATAGAATAATCCAGGTGAGGGAGTAAAATAGTTTCCAGAGAAAATTCCAATTGCAGCCCCATAATAAGTAGTTCCATCCCCTCCTTATGAGACCAAAATCTTTTAAGAAATTGTAATTTGAATAGTACTTAGTTATTTCTAAGATTATGCTGTGAGTATTTTGGAAAATACGATATCATATTAAGTACCAGTATTAATTGCACTAGTAAAATCTCTTAATTAAATTTTTTACCCAGAAGAAACAATACTCACTGAAGCAATATTAGGGATAGTTGAGCTATCTATTTATAAACTACTCTAAATTTAGTAGTCAGTATCAAATAACTAAAATTCAATTTGATAGTTAGATGTCATTGTATGTTGAGGAGTGAAACTAAATTTGAATTTAGACAGAGTGTTAGTAGCTGTGGTATCAAGAATTTATATATTCCCTAAATATACAGACCCTAGTGATGAATTGAATTATAGTTTATTAGAACTTGTGTCAGTTTAAGCAATTTGGCCTCCAGCAGTGTCTTTTAACAGTAGATTTATTAAATTTGTTAGCTTTGCAACAGGTGGATTTTTTATTCCATTTATCTTTATAATTGCTCTATTGGAGCTACTAGAATAGAAATCTTATTTACAAGCATTATTTAGAATCAAAGTGTTTGATGAAATTGAATGAGCTATTGTCTGCTAAGGACCTAATATACCGCTAATTTAGACATCTGATATTCCGTCTGTTTAAAGATTAAATTCCTAGGTTGGAAAAATTATGGATATTTAACACCCACTTAGCACCGGTATGTTCAAGTAAAATTCAATCTAATAGGATGCTCTTTCTGAGACAGTAGTGTCAGTCACAGTCAATTAAGTAAATGGGAAATTAGTAGGAGATGCACTTGTCAAGCTAAAATTGCCCTAGTCAATTATCATTGCGTTCAATGGATGTATTGTTTAAATTGATATTATTCTATTCTAGGCAGTAGATAGAGGATTAACCACGCCATACAATATGAATTCTACTAAACCTGGTGTTGGATAGTTCTTGATTATTGCTCCAGTTACATTAGCTGTTTGATTATTGTCAAAAAATTTAATTCCAATCAAAGTGCCGTCCAGAAGTGTTGCTTTTATACTGGAAAGATCAATCATTGATTTTAAACCAAGTTACGAGCTTTAGAATAAATAAGGAAAGCTTATTCTTATTGAACTTCCTCTTCCAGTAAGTCGAGTTGTATTGAATCTTATCAATTTATTATCAACTTCTCCTGCTCTGCTAGTGATTAAGGATCTAATCTCCAAAAACCCGAATAAATATATCTGCTATAAATTTCTATTCTAAACTAAATCATAGCTTGAATCGTCCTCTTAGCTAAAATTATTCTTTTACTTTTAGTCAAATGTATTCTTTTATTCAAAAGCTTATTTTAGTATTTCAACCGGCTCATTTTCTAAATCAGGATAAGTTATTTATTAATTTGTAGAATAGCAAGTTGACAGAAATGACCATATTATTAGGAATATGAGGAGCATATTTTATTTTTTCTTAACCGATTATTACTTCATTAATTTCTAATTAAAAGTTAAATTTGAATTTAAATCCATCATAATTTATAATAAAATGATCTACCTCACGGGGTTTTGGGGTTTTGGGGTTTTGGGG